CCATCTTTCCCCCAAGACCAAAAAACAAAAAATCCTCCTTTTTTTTTGTTTAGAAAAATAAAAAAAAAAAAAAAAAAAAAAAACAATGTAAAAAAAAAAAAAAAAAAAAAGAAAACCAAGAGGCACACTTATAATGGAGACCTTGCGGAGCCAAGACAAGAAACCTCCTCCGTAATTTTGAGAAAGACAGGATACGATGGAAGTATATCAAAGTCATTTCCCATGCAGAAGGACATTAGATATTTGGGACAGTCCGGGCTACAAGCAGATCTGGATATGTAATTTCCTGCAATGTGATTGCTCCAGACCGCAACCAAAACAGTGATTTGACCACGAAAGGACTAAGTTCGACAGAAATGTCGCAGCTTAGAGCGCTATGGCTGGGATGTTCCTTGAAGAAAAGTAACAGCATGTAATACCAAACCGATTAATCGAGATGGTTTTATGCGTCTTAGTGTTCGATTTACAAATATCAAGATGATAATGATCGAGGAAGGTTTCTGTAAAAACGCCTGGACTTCTGATATCAAGAGACCTGAAGCAACTCAACGACACCGATCGAAAGGGAAGAGTACAGGATTTGAATACTTGAAATACTTTTTCGTCACGTCATTTTTTGGTGCTTTTGTAAATCTTTGTTTTTTTCTTTTCGCGAAGATCGCGTGTACATATATATCAATTTTAGTCCTTTTACATATCATTTGTAATCTTTTTTTACGTTCCTGTTAATAAATATCTCATTTTTTGGTGCTTTTTTAAATCTTTGTTTTTTTACTTTATTGTGGGAGGAAGTTTTTTAAACTTTGGGTTTTGTCCTGGGGCAAGGAATAACCAGAAGGAAGAAACCAATCAATGCAATGCTTTGAATGTAAATTTTAAATTTGAACTATCCCAGGATTCTAGCCATTATAAAAGCATAGATTACATACTTACATGTACTTCCATTTGATGCCTAAAAGACAACGGGAAGAAAACTGACCCCCTAAGGTTTGATCTCTTGTACAACTTTTAAGATCTCTAAGGTTCTCCAGCCCAGCATCCCTCAGCAATTTGGTAATATATGTAGTTGAAGGACATCCCCTTTTTGCCATCCCATGAGCAGGCACCCATGTTATCAGCTGTTCCACTGGAGAGAGCTCTCATCACCAAAAACATGTATAAACATCTGCAAACCTATGTCAGCTGTTTTCCACCCTGACAATCATACTCAACCTACTTATGAAAAGACTCCTGTGTTCGAGCCTTTCACAGTGTCAAACTTATGTTTCATTTTCACAGGAACTACCCAGGTTTGACGATAAAGACAACGTATACAAGGCGTACATAGTCAATGTGAGCTGGTCAGCCGATCACAGAGTCATAGAGGGAGCTACCATGGCAAGATTCTCTAATCTGTGGAAGTCATATCTTGAAAATCCTGCAGCAATGATGGTGGACTTGAGATAACACTCCATGTCATAACTAATTAAAAGACTGGCAGTCTTATAATTTTATTATCAGTATAAATTTCTCCCTGTTATCGTTGCTCAATGACTGAGCATTGGATGCGTCATGCAATTAAATGCATGCAGGGTGAGGTGAACATTTAATGAATTGCTTGCCTATTGCATAAGATCAGTAGCGTAGAGCAATTCCACAGGCATACCAACCCTCTTTGTCACAGACAGTTTCTTATCTTGGCAAAAAAGGTTCCTTGCCCATGGGACAACTCACAATACTGGTAATATTAAAACATGCTAGCCCAAAGGATGGCTCCATTAGCCCTGGCTATCAAACAACACTTTATGTGTTATTAAAGAAAAAAAGTATTTACAGGTCTATTTTACCTTAAATGGAGGAAAGAACACTCAATTTTGTTAAGATATTCAAGGTTGTAGAGGAGGAAGATTTTTGTAGAAAGGAAAATGTTAAAATTCTCCCTTACAAAAATAAATATTTCTTACAATTTCCCATTTCAAAAGCTTCAATGATATTATTGAACCTTTAAAGGAATCTCTATAAAGTGAATTTACAAATACTCTTTAATAATAGATTGTTATTTAAGTAGAAACAAAAAAGAAAGAAAAGTTTGTTTCATTTTTGTCTCTTTATCTTAAAGCACCAAGTTAATTATTTACACTAGCTCTAGGTAGTATTCACTGGCAAGGTGAAGCACTTTTGGGTGTCAAGGAAATCTTAGTTTTTGCACAAAACAATCATAATGCTTGATGTAGGTATAATTTTCTCAAGGCACAGTCTAGGCTGGATTTCCTGTCATTTTAGGGAGTCTAGTTTGTATCGCCCTTGTGTTTTATGAGAAAAAATTGTGGACACACCAAACAGCTGGTAATCAAGCCTAGGTAAAGCCTTGGTTATTGGAAATCTTCCTGAAAGCTTTTGATGGCGTTCAATGAACTTACAGTATCAAAGCATCATAAGGATAAAATAATTCTCCAAACATCTTCTGTTGTTGTAGTAATAGCCTGCTTAAGATCCGACGACGGCAGACGTCTGTGACGGCGAGCGGAAGTGAAATTACTGCTAGAAAGACTTCCGGCTGCCGTCGTTGCAAAGTTTCCCGCCGTAGCGGCCTTGTCTGTGACGTGAAGAAGGCCATTTTGCCGTCGCGTGTAAAACGTGAGTAAACTTGATCAAAATAATGCCATTTAAACACATTTTGAGCGAAATTCTTTAGTACTGTTGACAGTTTATTCTCAGTAGATCATTTTTGTCGAATTTCTAAGCGACTTAAGCGATTTGAACACGGTATTTAAATTAAATTTGTTTGCCCTCTCTAAACAGTTTGACTCGTTAATCGCCATGGACTCGCGATCGGTCAACTCGACTAAGAAAGCAACCCAGTAAGGTTTACAAGTTTTTTCTTGTGTTTATTGCTGTGTTTATTAACAATTATGACATCGTAGACTTGTTTTGGCATTAAATTGAGGTCCAATGGATTATGTCACTCATCTTTTCGTCAAGCCTCTCGGGGTCAAAATGTTCGTAATTCTGGTAGGGAAAATCCGGATTTTTAGATCTGTTGACATCATACAACAGTAAAAATTCATCTTCTGAAATGTCGCCATCATCGAAACTTGTCAGTAACAATTCACGAACCATTCTAAAAGTAGTCATCACTCTTGTATTTATTTCTAAACTTCAACAGGAAAAGGCGCTACAACAACCCGCCGTCGCGCGAGCTTTCTTAATGCTATTTTTCGCGCCATTGCGACGGCGACCTCACCCCAAACCCCCTCGACCAAGTCTGCCGTCGCAGAATCTCGCCGTCGTCGGATCTTAAGCTCACTAATGTCTGCAAAGCAGCACCAAGATCTCCCAGTGGACTCAATGAATAACCAGAAGTGTACTGAATGATGCCTTTTTGAACAGGCTAATCAAGGCATGTACTCAAAACAGCGAACACAGGCTGGGGCTAGAACAAGGATTTTGGTGCTGTTTTGCAGATCGACTTAACCAGAAGTTTAGTTGCATCAGTGGTGCAGTCTACTCTTACAGTAGCCAAAGTGAAAATTCACAAAAAATTCCAAATTTCTTTTCATAAAATTCGAAGAAATAACTAACGCATCTGTAGCCATTTAGTTTTTGTAATTTTCCACCCTAAATATGAATCTATATTTTCCAATGAAAAACAAGTTGGCCTTTGGTTTGGTGACACACAAACCTTATTTCAAGCCCTTTTCTAACCTATTAAATGAAAAATTGCATTTGTTTGTAAGAAACTAGTTAGAATGTAAAGGAAGGTTATATTTTTTCCTCATTGGTGTATATTTATTTTTGTCTGTAGACCATGTCTAGAAAGTTATAAATATGTTTGAATAAATTATAGCAAAGCCACAAGACGAGGAAGATTGTTGTGTAGAAATGAGTACTTTAAATGCTTGAAAGTGTCATCAAAATAAAAAACCTGAAAACAGTATCCATTTGTAATAAGCACAACCCTTTCCCCAAGAAAAAATGATTATTATAGGATAAAAATACAACATATGGCACCTGATACGGCCTTTTTGACGACAGTGTTTGAGAAGAGTGACACCAGAAATGAAGTGGACCTGTAAAATTTACTGGAAATGAAATTTGCGTACCATACACTGAAATTAATTTTTAAGAAACTTCAAGTTTGCCATTTAATGTAATAGATTAATAAGGCCCTCCTTCAAATAAGCACTCTCTTTCTTACACCTCAGGCCCAGGTTGTTCAAAAGCTGGATAGCTCTATCCACCGGATAAATCACTATCCAGCGGATACGTATTACAGGAAACAATTGCGTTATCCGCTGGATAGTGATTTATCCGCTGGATAGCGCTATCCAACGTTTGAACAACCGGGGCCAGAAAAATAAATACTGTAGGACCTCGGTAACTCGAACTCGGATAACTCGAACTTTCCGCTAACTCAAACAAAGTCCCATTTCCTTTAGATTTGACCCTACTCTTCAGTCACTTTAGCTCGGATAACTCAAATTCCCTGCTAACTCGAATTAAATTCTGCTGCCCTTGATCAAAATTTACCTTGATAACTTCATTTTTGTTCATGAATGCCATCACTCACCACGAATGCCATCCCATCAGCTTTTCTTGTTGTGCAAATTGGTAAAATCCCTAAAACTAACACTATAGCATTTTGTCTTTAATAAGTGCAACGAACAGGACACATATTTGACAGTCATTTCCCTGTATTATCACTGATATTAAAATGCATAATCATGTTGCAATTTCTGATGAGATAAGTTAAATTTGCACTCTGCTGTATACTGAAGTGCTGATATATCAGAAAACTATCAATATTAACATGAAAAACTGAAGATTCAATCGACCCTGATGATTCGAACCCTCCCTAACTCTAACTGTTTTTTGTTTCCCTTCAGAGTTCGAGTTACCAGGGTTCTACTGTAGTTATGACATTGTGCTTCCTATTTTTGCCATCATAGAATATCTGTGTTGCTGAAGACTTTAGTAGGGATTACATCCTGATCCCCTCAAATATAAAATGCAGTATAATTTCAGTCTGATTCTGAAGAGGAATCTTGTTTTCTGCTTTTCTTTTTCTTTCTTTTCCTCTTTTCTTTGCGTTTATGTTTCTTGCCGTGATGTTTATCCCTTGTGTGCTCTTTTCTGTTTCTAATAAACAAAGACAACGTTGGGAAATAGTACTAATCACAAAATTCAGTCCAACTCCCCTTAACTGCCTGGTTAGCTCAGTTGGGAAAGAGCGATGTGCTGAGCAGGAGACTGCCTGGAAGGCTGATAACATGGTACAATGTAGTTAACACCCTCTGGGCTGTCACTAAGATTAAAAGGTGTTTGGTATGTGCAATTAGTATACTGGGAATTGAGCAGCTTGGAAGTTCTTTTGGTTCTAAATCCCTTTTGTTTTTCTTTAATTGCCGTAAAGTTCCCAAAGTAACGACCCCCCAAAAGCAGCAACCTTCGAAAGTACCAAAAACAAAATTTCACGGGTGTTAGCAAATGCCAAAAGTAGCGACCCTCTGAAAATAAGGACCCTCCAAAAGTAGCGACTTCGAAAGTGATCTCCCTTCTTGCTAGAAATCATGGAAATTATAGTTACAACCACAAGCTCTACCAAACTGATCTGAGATTTATTTTTTAATGGTTGATCTTTGACATTCTTTTAATATGTAACCCTGAAAAGGTACATTACATTCTTTTTTTTTTTTCAAAAAGTCTTCGTTTTGTCTGTGAATACCCACATCATAATCAAACAATTCTTTTGCATATAAACATGTATTTAAAAAGCAATAACATGAAATAAGTTTCTCCAAATAAAAAGTGTTGATGTTTTCATGATTATTGTCGCTTCATACAGCCCATGTACGATACGCATTTTAGCTACCAAAAGTAGCAACCTCCTGAAAGTAGCGACCCTTTGAAAGTAGCATTTGGAAAAGGCTGCTAAATCCAAAAGTAACAAGTGTCATTATTTTTGGAACTTTACGGTGACAGTAGTCGGGGGTCAGGCACATAGAAGCTGGAGGGAATCCCCCGTCTCAGCCCTTAGTGACTCTGCCCCTTTAGATCTGTAGGTTCGGGTTCAAGCTTTGTGTTTCCTTAGACAAGAGACTTTTTCTCCACCATGAGCTAACCAGGTGGCAGGTTCAATTAAGCCAAAAAATTAGTTTAAACAAAAACAACACCATTGTACTAACTTGTGTCTCCTTGTTTTTTTCTTTTTCCTTCTGCTATCATCAGAGTCATCTTCACCTATAATGTAAATACACAAAAGAATCTTTAGTTTTAACTGTTCTAGGCTTGGAAAAAGTTGATAAAGCTAAGTTGAAATATTAAAATTGATTATGATCTTTCATTCTGACTTATCTGAGAGACTGACGCAATTTTACCGGCAGAAAATAAAAGTGATAACAGTGAAATATTATTTAATCTTACCCTGATCACTATCTGTGGTTGTTGAGTGGCATCTCTTGGGGCTGAATATAAGAACACTAATGTTAACGGACAATAACACGGAGCAGAAAAGCCATCATACAGTTTGTAACACTAAGTCTTTCTACAGAAAGGATTGGTAAATTCAAATGTATGCACTTCTCATTCATGGTCTGCACCACAGATGGAACTAACTTCTAGTTACGTCCATCTGGAAACAGTGATGAGGTCCTTGTTCTGCGCCCCCACCTGTGTACCAGGATTTGAGTATGTGCCATGACTGGCCTGTTGAAAAAGACCATTGTCATTTGCCCATTCTGTTGAAGGGAAATTCAAAATGACTTTCTGGTAATTCATTGATTCTGTTGGACCCGAGAACAAAGATATCATCACTGCTTCTCAGACGTTACTAATCAGTGTTAGATTATATCTGTGCCGCAAGTTACTCATTTACGACTAAGAGGCATTTTTATTATCTTGAACAATTTCAAATTTGCATAGAAACAAGGAAAGAGACTGAGGAAAACCCTTACTTTTTGGCAGGGGGAGAGTATGAGGAAGCTCTTTGCCGTGGAACATCTCGCTGTTTCAAAGTCCTCTCTAGCGATTCTGATCTCCTGAAAATACAGTTTTTGTGGGTTGAATAATCAATATAAAAAATAAAAAACCAAAATATTGATACATTACTTTGAACATGGTGAATTAGAATGTAACTCATGTTGATTGTGGTGGCTCAACAGTGATGATGACAATGATGATGATAATGATGATGATGATGATGATGATGATGTTGATGATGATGATGATGATGATGATGTTGATGATGATGATGATGATGATGATGATGATGATGATGATGACTGCAGTCATGACAACAGATTAACGTAAAAATAATACAAGACAGTGATGATGATCATGATGAGGGTAGTTTATGGAGATGATAGTAAAAAAATGATGACAATAACAATGACAGTCGTAATATTTATCTTTTTCCTGACTACCAATAAATTGCAAAAATACAATGTACATACCTTGAGACCCTTTCATCTCTTTCTTTCGCTGTTTTCCTTTTCTTGGTTTTTGTTTCCTTTCTTTTTGTATCTGAATCGGATGAGGAGGGTGTTGATGTGGAGCTCACACTCACTTCTTTCTCACTTTCATCCTCACTAGAAGTACTACTGACGTCAACAACTACATCTTTCTTCGGATCAACACGGACAAAGTTGCGACATTGAAAGGTCAGGTGACCACCTGGTGAGGTGGAAACATTTACTGATTTAAGCCATTTCTAGTGGGAAAACCATGATGAAGGATACTACAGTGATTTTGTTACAAATAGTTACTGGTATGGAAATCATGAGTCCCACTCCATGTCGAGAGCCATTTAGTCCCAGTTCAAAAAACAAAAATTTCTAAATTAAAAATGCTTGGGCCTTTATGTGACCAGACAGATAAAAGATATCCTTTTGTAAAGCACAGCAGAGACTAAAAGAATTATGCATGATTAAACAACAGCCACAAGAACAGCTGCCACAGAAATCACATGAACAGGGCATTTTACAAAAACATTTTCATATTGATTTATTGATCAAACTTTGCACCCTACAGGATGCATGCCATTGACTCTTGTGTTCTACATCTGTGGGGATTTTTTTTGCATTAGGGACGCAGGACACAGAGGTAACAAAATCACTGATGCTAGGGAGGCAACGTGGCCAAGCGTTGAAGGCACTGGACTTGTTATCCACATGCCCCAAGTTCAAGTCCTGCCCTTACCATTAGCTGGATTTGCTCTCGAGTCCCGAGTTCAAATCTTCGGCTGTGCTTGTAAATAGCCAACTGGCTTGCCTCAAACTACCAGCTGGGATTCTTAACCTTATTATTTTCCATTTAAATTTATTTGAAATTCATTATCCCTGAAAACCCCCAAGGAGAGAGGATAATTAAGAATTTATTTTTCTTTTACTTTTACACCTACAAATTTTCAGTCTCCTCAATATTGTATTCTTTTACTTTTCTATAGCACAAGAAAATAGCTGACTTTTCATGACACCATCACTGGTTTTTCTCCAAAATGATGTTTGAAGAATGACTGAAGAAATTCCATACTGATGATGCATCACTACCCAGATGTAGGTGGTGCTTCTGATTAGTTAAAGCAAATTTCTCTAGCAGCATGACCTCAGACATCAGTTCACGGGGAATACAGTGGCGGCATCATGAAATGTTGGTTGTCAATGTTTTCTCAGGCTAACATTACCAGTGCTGTAAATGCCTTAGATGAATATTTTAAATTTAGAATAGAACACAGGAGGGAGAAAGCCAAAGGTTTTTTTTTTTCAACTGAAGGCTTGATGCCATCGCAGTTCTTACATTAGTATGTGTATATCCATTCACACTAATATAAGCTTAAGCTTAATCGCGAGAGGAAAGCAACGTACTATTAAAAAGAATATATTAATGGCACGGGTAAGTTTCTGCTTAAGATATAAAAATTAACACACGGTCAGGTATCTTCCTAAATAACGGCAAATAAGTAATAAACTTACTATAGCCACATTTCTTGCATCCGGTTCTTTGACTTTCCGTATTCTGGTTTGTGAGTCTTCCTATCAAATCTACAGACACAAGATGAAAGTTTCAGCTGTGCTAAAGGCAAAGTAAAGAGAAATGCACTCGCGGCACATTTCAAGAGAGGAAGTAGTTTCTCACTTTTTATATCTGTAGTGCTCATTTTGGTGCGTCAGTGACAATCCCAAGTTTACGTCAAAGCGTATTAAAGCAAGAAAAAAGAACAACAAACTGTCCAAACTGAAAACGCCGCCATGATGACCAGAAATACGAGAGAGACTGGAAGTGATTGTATGAATTGGTACTTAGTCCTACTCAGCCAGCCACTTTCACCAACATGGCGGTTTTCCTTTGTTTTATGTAGTTCCAATTTTCTGGAGAAAAATTTAGTGTAAACAAGTGATCAAATGTCAAATCGAAAGGCAATTAAACGTAGAAGACAGACTGGGGAAGATGATGATTTCTCTCCGTCAGTTGTCCCACAAAAGAAACGATCAAAATCACAAACTGGATTTGACAACAATGTCGACAGTCCTCAAGGAAGTCTTTCTCTCGGTGACGGTGATGCAGGCGTCAGAAGGTCATCAAGGACTCCAAAACCTAAAGTGTTTGATGATGAAGAAACTTCAGTAATCAGTAGAACTCCGGACGTGTCTTCAAATTCAGGCGATTCTAG